CAAAAAAAAAAAAAAAAAAATCTTAAACCAGAGTTCAAACAAATAATGAAATTGATTAGCTTGAAATTCATCCCTACTAATTTTGCAAATCAAGACCAGCCTAGGCAACTTGGTGAGACCTCATCTCTACAATAAATCAAAAATGCGCCAGGCGTGGTGGCATGCACCTGTAGTTCCAGCTCTCAGAAGGCTGAGGTAGAAGGTCGCCTGAGTCCAGCAGGTAGAGGCTGCAGTGGCCATGAGCATGAATGACACTGCACACCAGCCTGTGTAACAGAGTGAGACTCTGACTCAAAAAAAAAAAAGAAATTTTGTATAGCTAAAGTCTACAGTAGTGTAATGTCCTAGGCATTCACATTCATGTGCCACTCATTAACTGACTCACCCAGAGCATCTTCCAATCCTTCAAGTTCCATTCATAGTAAGTGCTCTATAGAGTTTCTCTATAAGTACTCCAAGTTTAGAGATGGACCATTTTTTATCTTTACGTATAGAGATGGACCATTTTTTATCTTTCATAGTGTATTTTTTCCTGTACCTTTTCTACATTTAGATACACAAACAGGTGCCACTGCGTTACAACCGACTACAGTATTCAACACAGTAAGATAAAGTACAAGTGTACTGTAGCCTAGGAGTAACAGGCTACACCACATAGCCTAGGAATGTGAGCTGTACTACATAGGTCTGTGCACATACACTCTATGATGTTCACATAACAACAAAATCATCTAATGATACATTTCTCAGAACATATTCCTATTAAGCAACACATGACAGTACTTAAGTAGGTACCTGACCACTATAAACCCAGTATGCCCTTTATAAAAATTCTTGCTTGACTCACATAACTAAAATTTAAAATAATTCCAGATATTATTTGTTAAAGCATGCCTTTTTAGGCCAGGCGTGGTGGCTAAAGCCTGTAATCCCAGCACTTTGAGAGGTGGAGGCGAGAGGATTGCCTGAGCTCAGGGGTTCGAAACTAGCCTGAGCAGCATGGCAAGACCTCGTCTCTACAATAAATAAAAAAATTAGCCAGGCATGGAAGTACATGCCTGTGGTTCCAGCTACCTGGAAAGCTGAGGCGGAAGGATCACCTGAACCCAGCAGGTCGACACTGTGGTGGCCACGAGTATGCTACTGCACTCCAGCCTGGGCAACAGAGTGAGACTCTGATTAAAAAATAAAAAATAAAAAAAAAAGAACAAAAATAAAGCATGCCTTTTTATATCCCTCTGGGTGACCAAACTTACTTTCATAAATTCATGCATTTGACAGTTAAGAAGCAAAGCTGCATATCTGAGCTTTATAAAGTACAAGCAATTACATATTTCACATGGCACATCATTTAATACATGCTGAAAAAATAAGATTAAGAATTAGTGGATTAATATATAACACACAGAACCAATTATAAATATGTATATATACATAGGTTAATGACACACATAAGTAGATATATATTTTTTATTTAGCTCTGGACTGAGTGGGCCTAGAAGCAATGGCACCCCAGTAGCAACAACCACACCTAGCACTAGATCCTGATTTCTAAATACCATTGCCAAGAAAAAAAAAAAAAAAAAAAAACTCCTTGGGCGGGCATGTGTGGTGGCTCACACCTGTAATCCTAGTACTTTGGGAGGCTGAGGCAAGCAGATTGCTTGAGCTCAAGTTCAAGTCCAGCCAAGGAAATGTAGTGAAATCTCGTCCCTATAAAAAAATAAAAAATAAAGGAACTCCCTGGAGAAATGGCTGATTCTAGAGCTAGGGCAGGACAAGGAGTATCTTTATAGCACCCAAAAGTAAGAAAGTTCTCAAATCTGCATTTTAACTTTTAATTGTTCTTTATTATAGGAGAATTTCTAATAAGTAAGAAAATCTTATTACTAGATTTTCCATGACTGAATAATGACTATTGTCACTTCCCTTCTTTTACTCCAAACTATGCAACCCTGCATTCCCTAATCCAAAAGTGTGCAGAGCAAAGAAGGAATACATGTAAAAGACAAAAAAAATTATGTGTTAGTTACAAAATTAAATCATACCGTGCAAAATTCAAGCTTTTTACCAATTCATCTAGTATGCGGTTATTTTTCAGGTCTGGCTCTGTGACTGTCTAGAAAAAAAAAGACAAGAAAAGGTTAAAACAAATAATTAATTTGTCATAATCTCATTTTTTGAGAATGTCTGACCCATCCTCCTAAGCTTCTCCATTCCACTAAGTTTTCCAGAAAAGCTCAAAGTAAAGTACATTTATTTCCTACCAATAGGGAATATTAAAACAATGACTCAGTATCTGCTGACTGGAAGTATGATAAAAGCTCTCCAAAGCATCCACTAAAAATCATATATACTCTGTACTAACATAAAGCCTAATACAGGCAAGAATCTTTCTTCAAAATGCCAGCACTCATCTTTCCCAAAAATTTCTCCTGAAAAAGAGAAGAGATATATAATAATGCTGAGAAAGGTATTATGTGTTCAAAGAGAGTTTAAAAATAAGATTGCTGGTGGAAGGATCGCCGGAGCCCAGCGGGTCGAGGCTGCGGTGGCCGGGAGCGGCCACTGCACTCCAGTCTGGGCAACAGAGTGAGACTCCAACTCAAAAAAATAATAATAATAAAATAAGATTGCTAGCCAGGTTCGCTGGTTCAGACTGTAATCTCAGCACTTTAGGAGACCGAGGGCTCAAGACCAGCCCAGGCAACTTGGCGAGACCTCATCTCTACAACAAATTCAAAAATTAGCCAGGCACAGTAATACACACCTGTAGTTCCGGCTACTTGGAGGGCTGAGGCGGAAGGATTGCCGGAGCCCAGCAGGTCAACACTGGGGTGGCCGTGAGCATACCACTACACTCCAGCCTGGGCGACAGAGTGAGACGCCAACTCAAAAGTAAATAAATAAATATAATAAGACTGCTTTACAGAATTGTACAAGAGAAAATGATTAATCCAGTACTTATTTAGCATGAATGGTACACAGTTTATCTCAGTGATGATACCATCTTGACATAGGCAGTGTAGCATCACTGTAAAGATTTTAGACTTGGGAGACAAACTACGTAATTTCTTACATAAGGAAATAAGGTGTGAAAAGGTCAAAAGTTCCCCCAAGCCTACCAGAGAGGCCAAACTAGCCAAACCCTCCAACTACTTCCAGTGTCCTTTCTGTTAGACCTCACCATCTCTTCTTACTTTATTCCACTCATGTTTAATTTCCCTTTTAATCTACCTTTCCACCTGTTCTCACAACTTAAAAAGTTTCAGAAACTGTAACAAATTTCCTAGTGGTTTCTCTGAACGTCTGGTTTGGGAAAGAGGTAAGGAACTAGTTAGCCTGGGTTAAGCCCAATGGCCATGAATATTTGCTTTCTGCACAGATACTTTGACCAAATGCAAATGAATAATCCTATCATCAAAGTTTCCACCAAAGGTGAGAATTAAAAAAAAAAAAAAATAGAAGCCATGAAAGCATGAATCATAAGAATTAAACAGTGCTACATTCTGACCTTAAAATTAGTTTTTACTTCCTAAAATACATCTAGGTTGTCAGAAATCTTAATCATAACTTGAATAAAGTCCAGTTTTTCTTACATATACTTTAGAAGTTCTTTCTGAAAATGTCTTTTATATAGCTTAATTCAATAAAACACAACTTTCAACGTGTATACATAAAGCAGACACATTTTTAACTAATCAGTAAGTTAAAAAAAAGAAATAAAAACTTACCACACAACAAGTTGGACATTGAGTTTTATAGGATAGAAATTTTCTTATACAGAGAGAACAGTCTGCAAAAACACAAAAGGCAACAATTAAAAGTTAATCAACCTATACTAATAATACAGGATTCTGATTTCTAACAAAACCTGACTTAAGTCATAGGTTTTTTTCATAATCTAAAGTATATCATTATAATCTTAAATTTCTAGTACCTCTATTCTATGCACATTTACACATGTAATTAAGCAGTATTTTTAGGAAAGAGAAACAGATAAAATATGAGTCCCCAGGATAGCACAACTACATAAGCAACATACATACATACTCTGTGTACTCCATCTATAAACACAAAAAACATTACATGCAAGACCTGGGTTAGGCACTGTATAAACATGCCACATATCTCTACCATCTACCACACAAAAATCACAAAAATATAAATTCTGAAATAAGATATATATATATGCATGTTAAGAAATAATAAGGGCCGGGCTTGGTGGCTCAGCCTGTAATCCCAGCACTTTGGGAAGCCGAGGCAATTGGATTGCCTGAGTCCATGGGTTTGAGACCAGACCGGGCAATTTGGTGAGACCATGTCTCTACAATAAATCAAAAATTAGCCAGGTGTGGCAGCACACTCCTGTAGTTCTGGTTACTTGGAAGGCTGAGGTAGAAGGATAGCCAGAGCCCAGCAGGTCGACGCTGAGGTGACCATGAGTGTGCCACTGCACTCCAGCCTAGGCAACAGAGTGAGATTCTAACTCAAAAAAAAAAAAAAAAAGAAAGAAAGAAATAATAAGTATCCTGGTTATTAGGTTATTACCCTAATTCTGTAAATGGTCCATCATCCCACATTTAACAAGTACTTTTGTGGCAGGTACTATGAAAAGAACAGTATATAAGGGAAGGTTCTTGACTTCACAAAGCTAACAAAACAGTGGGGCAATTATAGCAAAATTCAGTGTAATATGTCCTAACAATAAGCAACAAAAAGCTTACTTTAAGAAACAATGCCAAAAACTTCCCAAATCTGGAAAAGAAGACATCTAGATTCAAGAAGCCCAGTGACCCCAACTAGGATAAAGCAAAAGAAGGCTACGATGAGACTATGACAATGAAATTGCCAATAGCTAAAGATAAAGAAAGAATTTTGAAAGCAGCATGAGGAAAGCAATTATCAGGTACAAGGGAGCCTCCGTAAGATTAACAGCAGAATTTCAGAAGAAACCTTACAGATCAGAAGGAAATAGGATGATACATTCAAAATGCTGAATGGGGGGGGGAAGGATGTGTGCCAACCAAAACTACTAATTCCAGAAAAACTGTCCTTCAAAATGGAGAAATAAAAATTTTCCCAAATAACCAAAATGGAAGAAGTTCATCACCACTAATCCTGCCTTATGAACAATGCTAAAGTGAGCAATTTAAATGGAAACAAAAAAGGTTATGGATAGAAACATGAAAACTTATGAGAATATAAAGCTTGCTGGCAAAAGTAAATAAACAGACAAACACAGAATACTGTAGTACTGCAATAGTAATGCATAAATCATTTTTAATTATGGTACAGAATTTTTAAAACAAAGGTATAAAAAACTATATCAAATATGTTAATAGACAGACAATATAAAAAGATGTCACTTGTGACATCAGCATAATAAAGTGTAGTATAATAAAGTGTAGAAGGAAGAGGTAAAAGGGTAAGGTTTCTATTTGAAATTGGAATTATCAATTTAAAACAGATTATTATAAATATAAGATGCTTTATGAAAACAGCATGGTAACCTCAAGGAAAACACCTATAGAAGATACACAAAAGGAAATGACAAAAAAATCAAAGCATGTAACTATTTTAAAAATCAACAAAACACAAAGGAAGACAGCAAGAGAGGAAAGACTAAAAAGTTAAAAGACAGAAAAAATTTTAAACTAGCGATATTAAGTCCTTCACTATCAATTGTTACTTAAAACATAAATAAATTTAAGTGAATTTAACAACCCAATAAAAAGACAGAGTGGCTGAGTAGATTTAAAAAGAAAAAAAATCCAACTATATACTTTTACAAGAGTCTTATTTCAGATTTAAGGAGAATCACAAACTAAAAGTGAAAGGATATATATATCTAGCATCAGAGGAGCCAAATAAATGAAGAAAACATTGACAGAACTAAAGGGAGCTACACAATAATAGTAAGCTTTTAACAACCCACTTTTAGTAATGGATAGGACAACTACAACAGAAACAGAAACAGAAACAGAAGACTTGAACAACACTGTAGACTGAGTGAATCTAAAAGACATACAGTGTCCCTCAGTATTAACGGTGAACTGGTTCCAACACTCTCTCGTGGGTACCTAAATCCACAAACATTCATGTCCCTGATTTAAAAAATGGTGTAGCAAATGCATACAATCTACATATATCCTCCCATATATTTTAAATCATGTCTAGACTACTTTAAATAACTAATACAATGCAAATGTTATGTAGTTGGCATAGTATATTTTAAGATTTGTACTATTTTTAAAGCTATATTTTTATTTGTGCTGTTTCTAAAAATATTTTCTATCTGCAATTGGTTGGATTTGCAAATGTGGAATGCATGGACACAAGGGCTGACTGTATACGGAGAATTCCAACCAACAACAGCAGAGTACACACAGAACATTCTCCAGGAATGATCATGTTAAGTCACAATATAAGTCTTAACAAATCAAAAGTTAATCGTGGTCATTTATGTTTCCATAAGAATTTAGGAATTGTCGTTTCCAGGTCTGAGAAGAATGATGTTGGTAACTTAATAGATATTTCAAAGCAGCTAGGTATTGGTACAAGAACAGGCATACAGACCAGTGGGACAGGCTAGAGATTCCAGAAGCAAAACCTCAATTTCTCAACCAACTCATCTTCAACAAAGCCTCCCCCAACAATCACTGGGGAGAGGAGAATCTATTTAGTAAATGGTGCTGGGAAAACAGGCGGACCACATGCAGAAGATTCAAACAGGACCCCTACCTATCACCATACACAAAAATCAATTCTAAGTGGATCAAAGACCTAAACGTAAAATCTCAAACTATAAGAATCTTAGAAAACGCAGGAGACACTCTTAGAGAAATTGGAGTAGGCAACCAATTCCTGATCAAAACCCCAAATGTCCATGCCATAAGACATAAGATAGACAAGTGGAGCCTCATTAAACTGAAAAGATTCTGCAAAGCAAAAGAAACCATCAAGAGAGCACAGAGACAGCACACAGAATGGAAAAAAATATTTGCCAACTTTATATCTGACAAAGGCCTAACATCCAGGATCTACCAGGAACTCAAACATGTCAAAAGTAAACTGTCACATTAAAAAGTGGGCAAAAGACATGAATAGATGCTTCTTAAAAGAAGATATATGGGCAACCAACAGACACATGAAGAAGTGCTCAGCCTCACTAATCATCAGAGAAATGCAAATAAAAACCACATGGAGATACTACCTAACCCCAATAAGCAGGCCATCATTAATAAAAGCAAACAACAGATGCTGGCAAGGATGCAGAGAAAAGGGAACGCTGCTACACTGCTGGTAGGAATGCAAACCAGTTCAATCTCTATGAAAAACAGTGTGGCAATTACTGAAAGAACTAGAAATTGATCTGCCATATGACCCAGCCATCTCCCTACTGGGAATATACCCAGAGAAACTCAAATCATTCTACAAAAAAGATACATGCACACACGTTTATTGTTGCACTATTCGCCATAGCAAAAACATGGAACCATGAAAACTGAATTGAATTTTAAAAAGTGGTACACGATGGACTATTACACAGCCACAAAGAAGGATAAACTCATGGACTTCACAGCAGCTTGGATGGATTTAGAGTCTATCATACTCAGTGATTTAATACAGAAAACAAAGAATTGAGTACCACATGTTCTCACTCATAGGCAAACCCTGAATATTTACCATAATACTATAAGAAAGGGCTCGGCAGTAGCCAGAAACTGCTGGGGGTGGGGGTAAGGCGGACATAACATCAATAAGAGTGCCTGATCTCAAACCAGGCAAAGTGGGGACCAAAGGGAGGCCCAAACTTTACCTGTACAATGACCACTTATATACCTAATCCTGAGTTGTACCCCACATCTTTATTTTATTGTTTTGAGTTAGAGTCTCACTCTGTCACCCAGACTGGAGTGCAGTGGCCGCTCCCGGCCACCGCAGCCTCGACCTGCTGGACTCCGACGATCCTTCCGCCTCAGCCTTCCAAGGAGCTGGAACTACAGGCGTGCGCTACCACACCCAGCTAATTTTTGATTTATTGTAGAGATGAGGTCTCACCAAGTTGGCCAGGTGGGTCTCGAACCCGCGGGCTCAGTCAATCCAGTCACCTCAGCCTCCCAAAGCGCGGGATTACAGGCTGAGCCACCGAGCCAGGCTATACCCCACATCTTTAAAATACAAATAAAAAATTAAATTAAATTAAAAAAAGAAAAATGCAGGATCAAAAACATTCACTGAAGAATTCTACCAAACATTTAAAGAGGAACTAGTGCCTATTATTTTCAAACTCTTCAAAAGAAAAAGGAGGAGGAGGAGATGGGGAACAATTTCAAACTACTTATATGCCAGCATTATTCTGATTTCAAAGCCAAATAAAGACACTACAGAATACTACAGATCAGGATCCAAGATTAATATAAATGCAAAAACACTAGCAAATTAAATTCAATCATACATTTAAAAGATTATATAGCATGACCAAGTGGAATTTATCCCTGGGATGCAAAGTTGGTTCAGGGATGGTTCTCTAAAACCTTTCAATGTTATACACCAAATTAACAGAACAAAGAATACAAATTACATGATCATCTCAATAGATGCAGAAAAAGCATGTGACAAATTCAACTACCTTTAATAATAAAAACTTTCAACATCTAGGAACAGAAGGAAATTACCTGAACAACATAAAAGTCATACAGCAGCCCTCCATATTCATAGGTTTTTATCTGTGAATTCAACCGCCTGCAGGGCAAATAATAATTTTTAAAAAACACCCCTAACGCTATAAAA